AATGCGTCTGCTCGAAGAAAGATGATAGAAAAGAATATATTTATTATGAATAAAGGCAAGTACGAAGAAGAGCTAAATACTACAAATAAGCCTATTCTGCGTGCACAAGATCTTCTTTTGAAGGTTCCTCCAAAGCTTCCACCACCTCCGCATTATCCCTATCCTTTTCCAGAGTCGAGGGCTCGTTCGCCAAAAACTCTCTCTTCAGAGAAGACAAATCTAGCTGGGGATGCTGCTTGGCCAACCTCCCAAAAACTTCAGCATATGCAACCCTCCTCAGTTAATCTTAAGCCCCTCATACTCTGTCGTCTTGTGAAAGTGGGCCATACAATCATTCAATGCCACCTTCCCAGTTTTATTCAATTGCTCATTAAAGGTTGAGGCTCAGCAGTGAACTCGGCAACACGAGACTTCAGTTCCATCTTTTCTTTATTAGCCGCCTCCAGAGCTATCGAGGCGATCTTTTGAAGGTTGTCAGAATTTTCAACCCTTTACGTTAAGGCATTCACCTGAGCTTTACAAAGGTGGGCATCCTCCTTCAGCCCCTTATTTTCCTTGGAGAGAGCCTCTACTTTGGACATAGCCTCATCGCATTTCAACTTAAAGGCCTCTACAAGCTTGGCGACAATAGCAGCCTCAGCATTGGCCTTAATCGAGGCAAAATCGACAATGTAGGCCCTGTTGAGATAATCTTGAACGAGCGCTTGCATCCACCTCGCTTCCGTTTGGGCATTAACGAAGAAATTCTGGGAACGGGCTTGCCATGCAAGCCCTGCCTCCATCAGGTCGGCTACATCATAAGTTTCAGCATGGGAAGAATATTTGTCGGTCTAGTACTTGTGGCTAAACCTTGTTGTCCCTTGGAGCTCAGAAGGGAGCATCTCCATAATTGCAGGAGCGATCTCAATCGATCGCCCACCCAAGAAGTTTTGGGCTTTGTTCTCACAGAGGACGCTCGTTTCCGTGTCTTTCTTCTTCCTCCTCAATAAATTGTCCCCTTCATCTATTGACTCTTCAGCCTCGACCACTTTCAGGGCAGAGATGGGCTTGGTAAGAATAGGACGCCTCAGTGATTTGTCCAAAGTAGTTGGCATTTAGGTGGAGAAGGAGGTCTGACATTTTTAGAAAAGACAAGTTTCCTCTTTAAAAGTTTGTCTTCAGAAGCTCCACCCTCACTTTTCTCCTTTTCCTTCTCGTCTTTTTCCCCCTATCTTTGACGAGAGAGGTAAGGGGGTTCGCCTTAGAGAGATGGACTAGCTCGTCCATCTGATTTTTGTAAGTAGTTGAGCTACTACTTAGGGGTTTCTTCCTCTGAGTTTCCCAAAAGCTTCGCAACTGGAACAAGTTGGGCTTTACCCGTTCCTTATTGTCATGCTGACCTGCGAAGAAAGGGTAAATTAGGAGGAACCACAACAACAAAAAGATTGTAGGAACGAAACTGAACCAATTACCATCACCTTTTGTAGCCATTAGCAGGTAAATAACAAATTAGGTCCACTTGGCGACAACATTCTTGAAGTACCTCCTTTCGATGGGCAATTCGTAAATCGCCCTTACCGTAGCCCACTCAGATGGCTCGAGCCAGAATCGATCAATCACAACTGCAGTATTAGACAAGAAAGAATGACAGCGTATGAGAAATGACAAATGGGTAGAGGCTCGACTTACTATACTCGTGGTAATGGGTCGACACAATTATTCTCCAGGACCCCTAACCCAAAACCAAGAAGACTTCCAGTTTTTTATGGAGGTAGGGGTCCCCCAGATGAAAGGGAAATGTGAGCCCCAGGGGTTTATATAGTACCACCTCTTACAATCACTACCCCCACTAGAGGATCAGGGTTGGAGAAGAGTTTGGAAGACATGGGAAGGCATATCCTTGCCAAGTGTGACCTCCTTCCAAAGAAGGAATGCGCCTGCTAATTGGCTCCATGCATTGGGTACTAATTGGGTAGGGTCAGGTTATATTGCCTAAGGATAAAACTAAAAATTGGGTGTAAAGGCAATCTTAGCCCCCCAGCCAGAATTGCCTCGCTCACGACCACACATCCCTTCCTAGGAAAGCAAACTCTCTCCTCTTGGGTTGGCACGAACATTTCTATATCCTCAGGGATCCTGTACCTCTCCCTTAGAGTCTCCAGTTCATCCTCTTTTATATTTGTGGGCCACAAAGAGGCCCCCCAGCTAATGCTACGGTCGACGGGATCCTTCTGCATCATCCTAGTACTATGAGGACCCCCCATCGCCTCTATGATCCTCTCAGTAGGAATGACTGAAGGAATTTCGGCCTCCACACAGATTAGGGCCATGTCTATTGCAGAAGACTCCCCACCAACATTCTTTCTGATGAAGTCATTAAAGTCCAAAGAAGTGATAAAAGGGCCTCTGTATGGGAAATACTTACACAAACTCTAAAAACCCAAGTTCTGAGTGGTCTTGGAGTAGGAAAAACAGTCAATTGTTGGCAATAGCAAGAGTATAGGGTTCGGACAAATGAAAATTTCAATACTTGGCTTCTCAAATTTTCAGAAAGTTGAAAAAGACGAACAAATGGGTTTCCAGCTTTTTATATAGGCTTGACAAATGAACCCCCACCGTTGGACATTCCCTTGATTTAACCCAGGTCTTATACCTGTAACCTTATCATCCACGCTAAAAATCAAAAGGCGCTTATTAGAATTCGAATCAAAGGTTCAGATGAGCCTGTACTACGCACGCGTTCATAGTTCGCGTATACCTGGACGAAAGTGTATCATCATCATCATCATCATCATCATTGCGCATTAAATGCATGCGTTGCTCGAACTTTGGGAATGACTAGAATATCCAACTGTCGTTATTAGGAGCCGGTGCGCTCCAAACCACCAATACAGGTCGACGAGGGGCTCTATCCGGTGATAGGGGCTCAGCAATTCGCCTCTAACCTTTGTACATTGTGACCTCACCCCTATGCGGTTCGTCTGGACACGAAAAAGCCTCATCTTCTCACGGCTCGCCCATTTCGAGGATCGTCCCACTCCAGCAACTCTGAACCGAGTCAAGAAAGCCTCGTTACCAACTCCAGGAGATGAAGGCACCATTTCCACTAATTAACAAACTATACAAGTCCACGCATAATATAAATAATCATACCTGGACTTCAGGGACTGATATTACTCATATAAATAATTGTAAAATAAACATACCACGTGGCAAATGGACAACCCAATTCTATGAGTGCCGAAGCGAACCCAACCCAAAAGCTACTCATCTGATCCCTTGTTGGCAGAGGTCTCCAGCATTAACTCATCTCTGGCGAGCCGATAATTCAACCAACATCAGACCTAATGAAGTGTTTGACAAGACATTATATTGCAGTGCCGCCTCTGCACACCTACACTGTCAAATCCTAAGTTAGAAGTGAAGATAAGGAGATCTCAGTATTAATGGCTTGATTGGTTGATTGACACTTGTAAGAACCATTAGATCTTCTACCATTGGACGGACCTCATTCACTCGACATTAGATATAAAAACCCACACTCCATACGTTAAGAAGCTAATGCAAGCTTACACATTAAAGTAAAACATTGATTCTCTCTACTTCACCTAAAGATCGATCCCCTATTTATGCACCAAACAACCAAAAACAGCAACTTACTAAATATTTTGGATCATTCCCTTCATTGATTCATACGAGAAACTTGTGATTTGAGTCATAAACGTATTGAGATCTAAGTTTACGTGGATATTTGCTTCTACTTATCTATTGGCCACGTCATAGGACCATTTTTTTGGGTTAACACTATTATTCAAATAATATATTATTTCTAAGAAGAAGAGCTAGCCCCATGGTATTAAATCGAGTTGCACGGAAATTCCTCTTTATTGGGATTACGCAAAATCTATTGTTTTTTATAATTGAATTCTGAAAATTCACAATACAAGCTTTTTGTATAGGACATACTTGACAACTTGGGCTGTATGTCAATAAACAATTATTTAGCCCCTATTTAGTGGTTTGTTTGAAAAAAATATTATTTTAAATAGTAATTTTTTGGAGAATATGTGGTTAAGAAGTATGAAGTTCTGAGTTTAAATGTCAAATATCTTATTGTGTGAATACATGGTTAAAAATGAGTACGTAAAAAAATGAGAAACAAAGAGTAAGTTGGATTTTGAACAAAAGATCTCAACTCGACAAACAAGGGCTTATTACTCTACGATTCAGTATAACATACCACTAATAAAGTATTGAATAATACTATTCATCACCACCGGTATTAAACACCAGCTTATGCGACAATTACATGACATTAAATAATAGATTTATTTAAATGTAAAGTCAAATAACTCATTTCAACATATAAAATGCAGCTACATAGATTTTTAGCACCACTGTTGCTAGATATCTTTGTTCTAAAAGTATTAACATGTATCCTGATTATTTACATAATAGTTGATTAATCATTTCCCTCTAATTTAAAATTTAATTATGGAGGCCGACATAAATTACCCAAATCCATTTTTGCTTACCCTACAAAGTATCAGATCTGCAGTTCTAGTCAGTCTTTATTAATTCGACCGTTGAAATTCAAAAGCTTAAGAAATCCAGATCGGCAGATCCCTTTTGCTTTTGACTTTTTTCTTGAAAAGATTATAATATTATATATAAAAGAAAAAGAAAATTATATGCCACGTCAGATAAGCGTCCGGCACGAAATAGACCGTTGTGTATGCAGCTAACACCGTCAGATCACTTCAGGCAACGGTCGGGATGTTATGACCGTTATAATATGCTCTTCATTTAAAATCACTGTCCATTCCTATTTTTTTCTATCTGAAAATTTTCAAATTTGAATTCTTTGCCCAGATACTCATCCCCTTCTATACCGTTTCATTCGTTTTTTTCTCATGTTTTTCTTATCTGGGCTTTTCATTATTTTAGCATTTGATTCATCAATATATTGAATTTTTTTTAGAATTTTGCGTTTTTGTTTGAAGGGAAAAAAAATGGTGAAAATGGCTGTTAATTCTCCAACTTCATCTCCAGTGACTATCACAGTCACTTCCTCCGGTGGGTCTCGAAGCAAGGGATTGACTAGCCCCGTGCCTCGTCACTCCATAACGAACAACCCCAACTCTCCTATCAGTGGACGAGGGTTAGGGGGCTCAGGCGGTGGAGAAAATCGCAGGGCTTCTTCAAGTGGTGGGCGATATCTTTCTTTCTCGAAAGACAGCACGGACGAATTTGTAGCTTATACTGTCCATATTCCTTCAACTCCTGATAATCGGGTGGTGTCAGAATCTCAGACCAGTTCTCTTGAAACTAGCAAGAGCCGGAGCAAAAACCCATCTAAAGATTTTATCAAGGATACTATTTTCACAGGAGGATTCAATTCTGCAACAAGGGCTCATGCCCGGAAGAGCTCGGAGGAGGAGTCGCTGGTGATGAAGTCGAAAACGGAGTGTGGAATGGATGGTTGTGATGAGAAGGCAGTGGAAGGAAATTTGAAGGGCTATTGTGATTGTGGATTCAAAATTTGCAACGATTGTTACATGGACTGCATCGAAAATGGAGGAGGGCACTGTCCCGGTTGTAAAGAGCCTCATAAGGATTTTAGCGATGACGAAAGTGATCACGAGCCACGATCCGAGGAGAAGGATCAGGCGAATCCTCTACCTTCGTGGGGTGGGGGTGCTAAGTTGGAGAAGAATTTTTCATTGGTGCAGTCTTTCAAAAATCCGAACCACGATTTTGATCACACCAGATGGCTTTTTGAGACAAAAGGGACTTATGGATATGGCAATGCTTTGTGGCCAAGAGATGGATATGAATTCGGAAGAGGGACGGAAAGATATGAGAACCCCCCGGATTTTAGTGATAGAAGAAACAAGCCTTTGACTCGAAAAATTGGGATTTCTGCTGCAATAATCAGTCCATACAGGTAATCTATAAAGTGAGATCTTTTACTTTTTTAATTTATCTTGCTGGTATCCATTTTATGTTATGTAATCCTTGACTCCGAGAGTGATAACAAACCCAATGTAATCAGAAATACACAAAGCAAGAATCTCAAATTTTCATAGCAGTTCGCTATGCACTACTAGTAGGCTCCAAAGAGTCCAACATAAAAATTGTCAAGATAAATATCTGAGATGAATATTCATCGGGTTTTTCTTGAATGTAAATCAGCTAAGTTAATCTTAAGAGTACCAAAGATCAAAAAAGGAAAAGAATACGAGTTATGTAATTGATGCATTGAAGTTCAAGATGTTCTGGTCTTACTTTCTAATATTATTATTGGATAGGCAGCATAATCAGACTTTGTATTAAGAATTTTTTGGATGAAGTTTTAGGATGGCCTCAGCATTGATAAATTGGTGCATGTACGTTAATGTGCAGGTTGCTTATATCGGTGCAATGAAAATCAAGTAGTTATGTTCTTGCTTCCTAACAATAATGCAGGGTAGTATAATTAGGCATAGAATTTCATTTCAATGCATATAACTCAGAGCCTAAATTAAGAACTTGGGTTCTCACATAATTCCATTTGAATGAAGATTTAAGTTCGTTTCATATTCAAAAGTTGATGTATGAATGTTGGTATGTTGCAGATTGCTTATGGTTCTTCGACTTGGCGCCCTTGCTTGCTTCCTAACATGGAGAATCTCACATCCTAATCATGAAGCAATGTGGTTGTGGCTGATGTCTGTTATTTGTGAAATGTGGTTTGCACTGTCTTGGGTTCTTGATCAACTGCCAAAAATTTGTCCGGTGAGGAGGGTGACGGACCTCTCAGTCTTGAGAGAGCGGTTTGAATCCACTGAACCAAATCTTCGGAACCCAAAACAATTATCCGACCTTCCTGGAATTGATGTGTTTGTGTCTACAGCTGATCCAGACAAAGAACCACCACTTGTGACAGCAAATACAATTCTTTCGATCCTTGCTGTTGATTATCCGGTGGAAAAGATTTCGTGTTACCTATCAGATGATGGAGGCTCTTTAGTAACATTTGAAGCTCTTGCTGAGGCTGCCAGCTTTGCAAGACTATGGGTTCCTTTCTGTAAAAAACACAAGATAGAGCCCCGAAATCCTGAGGCATATTTTGCACAAAAACGTGATCCACTTAAGAACAAAGTACGTCTTGATTTTGTCAGGGATAGGCGAAGAGTTAAGCGAGAATATGATGAATTTAAGGTGAGGATTAATGCTTTACCAGAGTCGATTAGACGAAGATCAGATGCTTACAATGCTCAGGCCGAGTTACGGGCAAAGAAGAAACAGCACGAACTCGGGGAAAATCCATCCGAGCCTGTAAAGGTCCCAAAGGCTACTTGGATGGCTGATGGGAGTCACTGGCATGGAACATGGTCATCATCAGAAGAAGGTCATTCAAAAGGTGATCATGAAGGCATTATACAGGTAATTATTTCCTCCACCAATGTAACTAATTCAAAATCATTCCCTTTCACGATATAATCATCTCATTTTAATGCCTGAGCCTATTTTATTTACAGATAATGTTGGTTCCAGCGAGTCCAGAACCACTTTTTGGTACTGAAAGCAATGAGGAGAACTTGGTTGACACAACTGATGTTGATATAAGATTACCAATGTTAGTTTATGTGTCCCGTGAGAAACGACCTGCTTTCGATCACAACAAGAAAGCTGGAGCAATGAATGCTTTAGTCCGGTCAAGTGCAATAATGTCAAATGGTGCTTTCATCCTAAATCTGGACTGTGACCATTACATCTACAATTCTTTGGCATTAAGAGAAGGAATGTGTTTTATGCTTGACAGAGGTGGTGACAGGATTTGCTTTGTTCAGTTCCCACAAAGGTTTGAGGGCATTGATCCAAATGATCGGTATGCAAACCATAATACAGTGTTCTTTGATGTAAGCATGAGAGCACTTGATGGCTTGCAGGGTCCTATGTATGTAGGGACGGGATGCATTTTCCGGAGAATCGCTCTCTATGGGTTTAGTCCTCCGAGAGCTACCGAACATCACGGATGGTTCGGCAGACACAAGACTCGGAAGCTACTCAGGAAATCGAAGGGGCAAAAAGAGCAAGAAGACGATGAATTGCTTTTGCCAATCAGTGGGAATCAAAATGACGATGATGATGCTACCAGGGCCTCACTTGCTAAACAGTTTGGAAACTCAACTTCTCTTATTGACTCGATAGCTGTGGCTGAATTCGGGGGAAGGCTCCTCCACGAGTTGCGAGGAAAAGGATGTTTGGGAAGGCCTGCAGGTTCACTTGCTGTTCAACGCGAACCTTTAGATGGTGCAGCTCTAGCAGAGGCAGTCAGTGTTATAACATGCTTCTATGAGGATAAAACTGAGTGGGGCAAGAGGGTTGGATGGATATACGGTTCAGTTACCGAAGATGTTGTCACAGGTTATCGGATGCATAACCGAGGTTGGAGATCAATCTACTGTGTTACAAAGAGAGATGCATTTCGTGGGACGGCTCCAATCAATTTAACAGACAGGCTCAATCAAGTCCTTCGATGGGCAACTGGTTCGGTTGAGATCTTCTTTTCTCGAAACAACGCTTTATTCGCAAGTCCAAGAATGAAGTTTCTACAAAGGGTGGCATATTTCAACGTTGGACTATACCCTTTTACTTCAATCTTCCTCCTTGTTTATTGCGTTCTGCCTGCACTTTCACTCTTCTCTGGAAAGTTCATCGTCCAATCCCTTGACGTAACTTTTCTCGTTTTCTTATTAGCCATTACACTCTCTCTTTGCATGCTTGCACTCCTCGAAATCAGGTGGTCAGGAATCACCCTCCATGACTGGTGGCGAAATGAACAGTTCTGGTTGATCGGTGGAACAAGTGCACACCCTGCAGCTGTAGTTCAAGGATTGTTAAAAGTCATAGCTGGGATTGAAATTTCATTCACATTAACATCAAAATCTACAGCACCGGATGATGGAGATGATGAATTTGCTGAGTTATATGAGTTTAGATGGACAACTTTGATGATCCCGCCAATCACAATCATCATGTTCAATGTGATTGCAATCGGCGTGGCTATTTCTAGAACGGTGTATAGTCCTTTCCCACAGTGGAGCAAACTTCTTGGAGGTGTTTTCTTCAGCTTTTGGGTTCTTTCTCATCTTTACCCCTTTGCGAAGGGACTGATGGGAAAAAGGGGGAAGATTCCAACTATAGTATTCCTCTGGTCAGGACTCATCTGCATTATCATTTCGTTGCTCACGGTGTACATATACCCTCCTTATGGAAGCCAAGGTAATCTGAGATTCGAGCTACCATAAGTGTCTTGTGTTGCCTTTCCTGGGCACCTTTCCTCCCTGCAGTTACAGCCAACAAAGCACTATATGTAAACGTTGGCTTTCTGATAATACGTTTATCTTTCTGTTATCATCCAGTATCCTCGTTTTAAGAATTAGTCAACTTCATTTGTAGTTGATTCTGGTGATTCATTTTGTGCTTGCTTGCACATGCTAAAGTGAATTTCTTCTCTTGTTCATTTGTTGAATTAGAAATACAGTGTCATGTGGCCTATAATTCTTTTCTTCATTCATGTGTTCATATGAATCTTGCATACTCTAATTGTGTCCCATATATGAACAAAACTGAAATTATTTGACTTGACACATTATAGTGGTGAAAGTTTAGTTATTATATTTTCTGATGATTTGTTTACAGCAATTTCAGTCCACTGAGACCCTAATTTCTAACGCAAATTTATCTTTTTAAGTTCTCACTGGTCTGATAGCATCACTTTATCGAACTGCCATTATTGATTCCTGACTCTGTTGCAAACTTACAATCAAAAAGTTAGGTAAACAAGATTTTTAGTCAACCAAATTCATGTGGGATCGGACAAAAAGTGCAGCTCAATGCCACGCAATGGGCATAAAAAACACTAAAAAACTGCTGCTTTTTATCTCACTTTAAATGGACGGCAATAGCAGCACATATCAACAGTGAAAATGTGATATGGCCACTTGAATAACCTACTCCCTCTTCCTATTCTCCATTGGAAAGTGTGGAGCATAATATTTATTTTTTCGACCTCGAATTGACATTTGATATAAGGTCGTAGTTGAGTGATAGTCGCCAACATCAAAGTCACCTTGTAGTTCGAAGGATATTTTTTGGGTTGAGGGTGGTGTAGAGATTTTGCATGTAAGACGAGAAAAAACTTGAACTAAATGTTAGATATAAGAGATATAGGGCTAAAGAGAGAGATGATCTTTCTTGTATAATCCTGCATAATCTCAAACCAATACGGTTGATAGTCATTAACCATGTTAACATTGGCATGGAAGTTATGCATGAACTTAATGCTCATAACCTCTCTCTAAAACTAACTTCTTTCGAAACACCATCTGCACGAATGGATAAGATCCGATCTTAGCGTATATGAGTTAAAGAAAAAGAAAGAAAGATACAACTCTCACGTTGAATGTGAACTACTATAACTTTGTGTGGATTTATGCCTTTTGTTTTCATTTTAATTCATTCGAAACATTTTCTACTAATTATAAACGGGTTCTAGGACCAAATTAGTATTTAATCAAAGACTAGAATTAAAAGCGGCCTGCTGTGAAAATCAGATAAATTTTTTTATAATGCTGTCAATTAAAATTGGAGTAGGAATACGACATTATGCCAAGTTTTAATCAACTTTACAAATAAAAATTATCAAATACTAAAAAAAAAAAAATTCCTGGTTTCAAAGAAAAGCAATATATTTTGAAATTTCTTTATAAGTATTGTGCCGTGTCCAAACTAAATTCTTATGTCTTGAAGATCTTACGAAATAAGTTCATTCTTTTTTCTTTGAGAGTAGTTGGTTAGGACTCAATCAATTTGAACGACTAAGGGAAATGATACTTCTCTAATTTATGACAAAAAGATAAAAAAAAAAAAAAAAATGGAAAGGAAAGGATTGACGGTCTCACATTCTAATTTTTCATTCGCTAACCACCAAACCCAAGCTGCCTATTATAAGTCGGTCTATATTTCGGTAATTAATGATTATGCCCACAATATCCAGCGCTAACCACCAAAGTCCAAACTACGGTCTACCCATGTCAACATGGTCCCAAACTCGTTAACACGATTATCAGCTCATATACTCTGCTTGACCATCAACAGCAGCAGAGAAATCCGCCACCAAACCACCACCAATAAATCCATAGCCTCCCTCCCGTATCCATCACTACCCAGTAGCCACCAAACCCAGGTTGCCGATATCCACCAAGTTAAACATAAATGAAAGGCCTTTCAGTAAGCAAGCATTCTGTTTTATCAAATAATCAGTCAGATGGCAAGAAAAGAATCTTTCTTTTTTATTTTCAGAAAATTAGTGTACAAATAATACATACACGTGGCCCAATTGTAAATTTGTATTAGTGTAATCACAGAAGAAAAAAATGGGAGCTGTGTTCATACAAATCGTAAGGGGACCACAATGAGTCTAGGGGACACGGCTGCTTGGAGTCGAGCCGGAGCCACGGCTTGCCGGAACCGCTCCAATGTAGCAGACTCACAGGACCGGTATGTAGGTCACGGCAACTTCCTCTCACATTATCGCCTCCCAAGCCATGTTGATTCCAACGGTGCTCGATTGGCGCCACGTGTCCAGCAAAAACCAGCAAGAACGGTGGCAGCGAGCCGAGCTCGTAAATTCGGCTTGGGCTTGTCTTCTGTATCTCCATCCACTTCTCTATCCGCCGCGTGTATCCGAAGCGCCGCCATTTATTGAGATCTATAACCATTACTCCGGTGTTGAAATAACAGGTGTTCCGCAGCGAAAACACGCCGGAAAATCGTGGCTCGGACCAGAAATAGCCGGTGAAGTATTTGGTGAAGTTTGTGTGGCAATATTCGGGTGCTCCGATGGTCTTCTTCCCCAAGCTTGTACTCCAAAGCTTCAAAATATCATCGACCAGTACAAGATCCGAATCCAAGTAAATCACCCGCCTGACACAAGGCTCCAAAAGATCCGCCAAGTAATTTCTCGCGTAATTCAATGGCTGTTCTAGTTCTTGTCTAACAGAACTGGAGATCAATCCGCGAACTTTTTCCGGATCGAAATAATAGGATTTGAATTTCAATTCGGGGAAGGTGGATCGGACTAGAGTTTCGAGAGTGGTCTCTGAAACAAGAAAATGAAAGAAGACATTTTCTGGACATTTTGAATGCTGCAGAATTGAATGAACTGCAGCGATCGAACCCCGTAAGTATTCAACGTCGAGGGTAATCGCAACATGTATAAGAGAGGGATCGCAAACGCCTGATTTTCCAAATGTTGGGTAATTACATTGATCGGCATTGTGAAATGCTGGAGCCTTTCGAAAGGAGAATTTAAGGGAGGATTCAATCGAAGGAAAGGATTGCAGAGAAGGAGAGAGTACAATCATCATCATTGCTGCTGAGAAAAACCCAGAGAATCTCATAATCCACATCATATTTTTCTTCTTCTCTAATTTGAAATTGAAGAGAATTTGGAGTTTATTGGAAAAAATTCTAGTTTACTCCGAAAAACCTAGTAGAAATTGTTCTTTGCTTTTTTTGTGATTTCTCTCCAATGGAATGCCGTGGGAGGTAAGCGAAGAAGTTACATCAGTGAGAAAGTAGAAAGGGAGAATCAATCAATCAAGAAATGGAATGAGAGTTGAAATTTGAAAAAGGAAAGATGAATCGAAGGGCCTGGTTCTATAGTACGCCGACGTGTGTATCAGCACTCACTCACCCCTTTCTCTCTCCCTCTTGAAGGTGAAGAAGCAGAGAAAGAGAGTTTGTGGAAGAAGAGGAAGGAGGAGGGGTTTTGCTTTTTTGTTTTGTTTGTTGACTGGCTTTTGTGGGTTCCTACCATGAATATCAATGGACAATGGGTTAAATATATAGCGTTCAGCAAGAATTATGTAAATTACATAAAATGATGTTATTAGCTGTTTGGTGAAAATTAAAACTCATATTTTAATTTAAATCAAAGTCAATTTAAATTAAACCCAGCACTCAACAATTAATTTATATCACATATTTTTTCAATTTTTATTAAAATCTACTAAAAAATTAATTTTGATCCCCACTAGCATAGTTGTCAGACTCGACCCGAATAATATAGCTGATCAATGAGCTAGTGGTTCAATCGGTGACCAAGTGGTTCAATCGACAGGTCATTGCATAAAAACTACAAAAATATAAAGAATAAATTATTTTAGGGGCAAAATTAAAAATTTTAATTTATTTTTCATTAATTATTTAGATCTATAAAATAAAATAAAAAGTTGGATCAAAGTTTTTTAAAAGAATATTCCTATAAAACCTATAAAATGATTCATTAAATAAATGTAAGTTATTGCACTTACGTAATACTAAAAGACATTATGTTCAAGTGGCGAGAAACCCATTATTTTCCTTAAATGTCCAAGTAAATCGCTGGTTAACTCGATCAAGTACACTTCTATCAAATTAATCTATTCGGCCTGATCAAGGGTTCGAGCCGCCAATGCCAGGCCGAGTTTTATAACTATGCCCTCACTCTTCTATATTCTAGTTCCATAGTACTACAAAAAATTAAGAGAACAATACATATCTGGGGTTTTTACTTTACACCATTTCAAACATACAAAAGCAAGTTTCAAATTTCAATAATCAAGTTTTTAAAATTTTTATTTATGAAATAATCAATTATGAAATCAATTTATTATTACATATTTAATTCTAATATAACATAATTACCCCACCCTCACCTTCACCTTCACCACCTCTACAGCTCCAGCGACTATTCCGGTGACTATTCTGATGACCGTTCTGCCGCCACTTTATTCCGGTGACTATTTCGATTTCGACAAGTGTTCCAACTTCGACGAATATATTAAAGTCACATATCTATGCACAAATCGAAAATTTTGAATTTTTAGGTCACAATTCAAAATTTTCATAGGTTGCAATTTGTTCATCAGTCACATATTAAAAATTTAAAAGTCATAATTTGTTCATCGGTCACAAATCACAAAATTTATAAGTCACTAATTATTTTATGGTCACAAACATAACATTAATTGAACATATATTATATTTACGTAACAATTTATCAAATTATTGGTCACAATTTAATAATTTTTAGGTCACACAACATGTATTTGTCATATTTTATCCAATTCATTTGTCACATATTGTTTATTGATCACACAACAACCAAATTATTGGTCACAATCAACCAAATCATTCGTGACCACCACTTTGCCACTGTCTCCACCAGCGGCATCAACATCTCAAAATCAATACCACACCCTTCCCAGCCCCACTATCACCATCGCCATACGCACCGCCAAAACAACATAGAACACACAAATCACACACAAATTCACACACACAACAGAACACCACCCCAAAACAAGTGGAAAATGCACAAAAACAACCATCGTCGCCACCAACTTAGATCCACAATTCGCAGTGCCCGATCCACCACCAACGCCACGGCACCGCGCCGTTTTCGACCACCACCGCCGCACGTGCGCGTGAACACACTCACAAAAAAAACCATCGCACTACAACCGCACTCCACACCTCCACCACCACCACCGAACCGCTCTAACAGAACAAAAAACAAATAGATTTGCACCTCCACCACTTTCGCACCCACACACAAACCCAATCACAATCGCGGCCGCATCCCGTACACGCACCCAACAGCATGCACGCACACCCACAGCACCGGACCCGTACCCACAACAAGACAAAGACCATGACTACCGCACCACTCAAAAATTAAAAAACAAAAAGAAAGAATAGGCACGAATGAAAATGGATTTGCGTTTCAGCATCACAGGAGAGGAGAGAGGACCGAGACGGGATGAGATGAGAATTTGGTGGTTTCTTCATATTAGTTTAGGGTTTGATATAATTATATAAAAATAAAAATAAAAGTTTTAAAATTATTAATTAAAACCTGATTTTTGCAATATAAAACTTGATTCAGCATTTATGAAAATGGTAATCTAAAACCACGTTTAGGTGTAATTTCCTCAAAAATTAATGAAATTATTTTTGTTAAAGGCCGAGTACTTGCTATAAATTGTGGTGTAGATTAAATGATAAAGTTGATTAAATTTTTGAGGATAATATCCACTTTATTAAGCCCATTTGTTAAAAATTAGAATTTTTAATAAAGTTTGATAAAAATAATAATGAAATATATGATTAATAACTCGGTAAAGTTAATTGACAGCACTCCCTCCATATTGACACCATTAGTTGCAACAGCCAAACATCACTTTCTTCCTCTAAAAATCAACAACTGGGGAAATTTTATTGGCAAGGTTTCTTTGTAATTAACATAGATGAAACATTGCAATGAATTATAAAGTGGGTGTAAAAAAAAATGCTTTAATTAAATTGCAAGTTTTAAAATTGTGATTGACGCAAGGTAGTTGATGAGCTTCTGTTAAGTCTTACCTTATATATTTTTATAATTGCTATGTAAATGTCCTTATATACTTTTATAATTTCAATTAACTAAAAAACTTAGGTCGTTAATTTAGTAAATATGATGAGAGACGACGAAGAAGAAACGGGAATATATAAACAAATGTTTGGCTAACCTTCAACTACTCTGCTTACATAATTGATGTTATTGGTCAAAATTAAAAAAAACTAAGTTACTAACCATAGGGGCGGAACTAGGAGAGTATATTCGTGGAGACAAATTTCACCAAATTTTAATTGTAAGGCAAAATTGAAAATTATAAGAATTTTATTATTTGAAAATTTTGTGTAAAATCTTGAAAAATCTATTACAAAATCTTGAATTTCAAATTTAGTATGAGGGTAACAGACCTAATTGCCTTCATTGTAGATTCGTCCATGACTAACCATAAGTCGAAAATTGCATAAAATCAAATAACATTTTTCCCTTAAAAAGTAAAATGAAGTATCATATTAAAGCCTTGTTTCGTACCGATTAAAATCTATATTTTAGTCTAAGTCAAAATCAATAATCAATTTCAATCATATATGTCATGGGCCCCACAACTTTTCAACAGTATATTTCATCAACTTTTATAAAAATCTACTAAATATTTGATTTTAATTCCTATTAAATAGGCATTAAGAGTAGGGGTGGAAAAAAGGGCACGTCCTATAAAAGAGTATGATAATTCATTAGTGAGTGTAAATATAATTATTTAATTATTTTCTCAATGATTAAAGAACATTAAATAAAAAATTCGAATTGAATTCAACATGCAGTAGGTTTAATTTATTAATGTCCACTAATGTCTTAATCAAAATTCAGCCGTTGGCGTATGGTTCGGTTTAAAATTGACCAAACGTATTTATCCATGGAACTTAGCCGTTAAGAAAGATGAAAATCGACCAAGTCATGTAAGTTGACAACAATAATTCATATAAAGAAAAAACCCATTTTTACTTTTGAGTACTTTTAGTTTAAACAATGTTTTTTTGAAAGTGAGAAAATATTAATATATAGAATTTTATTTATTATCTTATTAAGTAAGATTTTATTTAACTTGGAAGTGTACCGACTTTTCAAGGCTCTCCTAAGCATTGATAAAAATAATTCAACAAGAGCGTGGGAGGCTTGAATATTTAAGGAATACATGGTATAAGAGCATTTTCAAGCTCATGTTTGATAGTGATTTTAATTTAAGTCAAAGTAAATAATCAATTTTAATCACATATTTTATGGGACACGCAACTTTTTAACCACACATTTAATCAATTTTTATCAAAATATATTAAAAATTTAATTTTAATCCCCACCAATCAGGAGTTTAATAATATCTGACGTCGGCTTTGTCAATGTGACATGGCGATAGAAAAGAATCATTATTTAATATTAAGAAATCTTTCTAGATTCAAAAGTTTTATTAGATATGCTAAATTGATATAATTTATATAGAGATGACAATGTGTCGGGTCAAGTCGGCGTATGCACATGAGCTCGGCTCGTGCTCATCACGAGTCGAGCTCGTGGCTCATTACTCGTGGATCGAGCTTGGCTCGGCCCGTAAACTCATGGGCCGAGTTTTGGCTTGCGAGCTCATAAAAAAATATTTTTTAAGATAGATATTTTTTTTAAAAAAATAAAAATAAAAATTAACTATTTGCCAAGACGAGCACACAAGCTCGGCTTGCCTAGTGAGTCAGCCCGCTCGGCTCGTGCTCCGGCTAGTCATTTGACGAGTCCGAGCAGCCCATTAGCTAAGTCGACGAGCCGCTTGGCCCGTTTACTAACACTAAATTTATATTTTCTATGCACATTTGGATGTCATTATATTTTTATTTTTATGTTAGAAAAAATAAAATATTCATGGACAACATTAACGGGTTATGGATAGTTTTCATTGGAGATTAATATTCATTATCCATCAAGACCATATACCCATTTGTAATCTTTCAATTTGCACGTCACCTATGTATCAATTCATAGAATGTATTGGAAATGTGTTCTAAGCTAACAGGTAGAATATACTACATTTTTTTTACCCCTTGACTTTTATTAAAATCTAAATCGAATCGAACTACCCATTTTTAATTTGTTTCAACCAACTTCTCATCCTCGTATTGCGGTTACTACAAATAACATCTTAAAACGTAGTTAATGAGTTTAGGGTTAAATAAGATTCAACCCTTCAAAAACTAAAGACAAGATTCACTTCTAAGCTGGGCCTAGCCTTGCCTAAACGATGAAATTACCAAAAAGGACAAAACACCTTTTCGTAAGCCTAAACGATGAAATTAGGCCTAAAGGGATTGTTTGATGAAATGTACAATGTGATGAAAAAGTTATAAATCCCATAAAATATATAACTAAAATTAAAGTTTGACATTGACCAATTAAAGGAATGTACTTTCGATGAGCGGTAAAGCATCAGACAAGTTCTGGAGCTTCTCTTCTTTGAGCTCGTCCATTTGTTGGGTGATCTATTGCTCCCACGTTCGAGTGTTTGCTCCTCATTTAGGCTCGTAAGTGAGATTTCTGTTGATTGCAGTCGAACTTTCGCTTTTCAGTACATGATTCTACAAAGTAAAATATCATTTTTTTTTTCTTTATTTCGAAATGACATCTATGACGAGAGATTTATGTGAGATGTCAAGTTCGATTATCATCATTCGCATCAACTATTTCATTAGAAAAACAATAAACTTTTTTCGATTGATAAAATCACAAGACAAAATAAATTTTAACAATCACTTTAAAACGAAATAAATCCAACCACTGACTGAAACTTTGCCATAACACGAGTGACTACAATATATCCAAGTTCTAACACAATGCACTTGAATCCAACCACATTTTATCTTATTTTTTTGAACCGTGGATTTAACGTTGATCCACATCCCACATGATTTACAAGTCCTAGAAACATAGTATCTAGTCAAGTGAACCACATATGACTCCATTATAATCATTGGGGTATGAGTTGACCAACTGTTGAAGTCTTACATTATGTTATATTCTTAACATCGGTCTATTAGCAAATAAAGTTATAGTGCATTTTCATGTATTTGACAATTTGATAGCTATACAACTATCATACAAATTAGAGTTAAATATTAGTATGATTAAATATTATTACGTTTCATTATATATTGAAGGCAAAGCTAATCTCCTGCTTACACTGGGCGGGATAACTATTGCTCACTATTGACGTGACATTGTCATATCAGCGATCAAACCATATTTCTCTTTACATTTCAAAAGAAAAATAAAAATTTGACATGTTAACGTGACAATGCCACATCAGCAAATTGACATTATAATTCATGTCTATTGTGGACGAGAGATCATTTCTAATATTGAAGGACCATATTGTTTACGAGATTTTTATTGGAGATTATAAAAACTTATCTATTTAAACTTCAAATTGGGAGAAGAAAAAATAAAAAAGAAAAAGGAAAGTTTCAAGAGAAGTTTGTGGTCAAATAAAAGATTATAAAAATCCACATCCCAAAGTTTTTTTGTCTTCGTGATAGGATTAGGAGTAGTAACGTATAAGAAAAGCTCCTAACGTAAAAGAAAAAACGGTAGAATATGGAACTGGCGACCATCAATGCAGATGCACTCAATCTTACTCCCATCCCAAGGTCCAACCCCCCCCCCCCCCACGCCCCCCCGCCCCACCCATGTCTTCATTGTCTCCACTTTGCTTTCTCTATGTAGAATCTCTCGCGCCATGCTTTTCTTTTTAGAATAAATCTGCTTGGGACGGGCACATTTGGCCCTGGTCACCAAGCAGTAACTCAATTCTTTCTACATACAAAATTGCACGATTGCCCCTTCAATCTATTGTTTGAGCAACACAACCACGTGTGTTTTTGTTAATGAAAAAAGAGTACAATTTAGGAACGAAGCTAGACCTGACCGCTAACCGTGGGTAATAAAATGGAAATAATGCTTATACTAAACAAACGTGAACAACATACGAAATAATTCTAGTAGAATTTGGTCAAATTTTTGAAAGTTTCTATCTTTCACGAGTCTTCGCAAGTCTTATGATCTATATGTAAGAATTATTAGTAGAGTAGTCATATTCACTAAAGGAGAGAACTTATGGTCGAATCAATAGGGAGATAATTGAAATTCTCGATATTATCGGGAACATAACCATGAGTATCGCATGCGTAACAAATGTAGGAAAGTTGGGCATTAAGATTACACTAATAATCTGATTGAACATTAATTGTGTGATTCTCAAGACCCCATACGATCCAACATTTGCTCAGATTTTTTCACCAATATTGGTTTTGACTGAAGTAGTGGCCGACTCATGAGACTTGGTGGAATCTCCCAAAATATTAGTCACGAAAGTCATCAGCCGATTTCCGAAATTGAGTCCCCACTTTGACTTGGCAATTTTTGAAATGGATAATGATTCCTTGCTTAATGGATAAGTAGTTTGATATGCTATTAATATGTGGTATCTCCATCCCTACCACCCGTCGCTCCGACTCAAGATGTTCAACCACCATGGTCATCTCATTTTGGATCCTCTCCAATCTGGGGTTAGTCGGTAAAGGAAGATATACAAAATACTTAATCATACTGGATTACACACTGTCATTAAAGTGTCGAATCCCCCTCTTTGTCCTTCTATGCATTGAGAGACTCATCCATTCCACCAAACATGCTCTTACCTTCAAATGTAGAAACTCATCTCTCTCTAAATTTCTTGATTCTAGCTCAAGTTTAGAAATAAAATCTAACTTTACAAAGTTGGACATGTAACGACGGTCTGAAAATGGGGTTGAAGACCAAATTACTCTTTTCTAAAGTTTAAAGACTAACTCATTACTCAAGCAATAAATTGAGGCTAATTATGCCTAAATTTTCTCTGTTTATACATATATAAACATCGTGGATTCCCCAACTTTACTAGTCGTCATTGATCAATAATTTCAAGCCCTTCAAAAATGGGAATTCTCCAACAAACTCACTTTCCTCTCCTCTTGCTTATGCATATTTTCATTTCACTAGATTTCTCTCGAGCCATGTCAACAATAACAGCAATGGCTAAAGATCAAGTAGCCTGTACAATGTGCTCTTCCTGCGACAACCCATGCCAGCCCATTTTGTCTCCGCCACCACCATCTCTGCCACCGCCATCTCCACCTCCACCGTCTCTGCCACCGCCATCTCCTCCACCACCGCCATCCGGGTCCAATTGCCCTCCCCCACCTTCACAACCCAGTGACGGTGGTGTGTACTACTACTCACCTCCTCCACCCGCTCAACCATCTGATAATTATTCACCACCCTCCGGTGGCGGTGGCGGAGTGTACTATCCACCTGCCAACCCCTACGGCTACCCCATTCCGCCGCCTCCGAACCCCATTGTTCCGTACTTCCCTTTCTACTACTACAGCCCTCCACTACCTCCAGCTAACCCTGATTCCAACTCCATGCAATTGAAAAGCCACTCACTTGTTTCTTCCTTCATTATTTTCCTTGCTTCACTCTTCTTAATCTGATTTCCAAAGAAAAAATTGTATAATAATAAAATTAACTGTTCAATGATTTCTCTTCTCTCACTTATATTAATTACTTTTTCCAGGTTTAGAAATCTGCTTCATCAGAATTCAGAGAATGGCAACAAGCAACAGGAAGGAAAAGGAGGATGTAGGAATAATTCACTGCAGGAATAAGAGGGAACGCTGATTCAAGTGACATTTCCATTTTCCCTTGTCTGTGTAATTTTCCCATAGCCTATTCATTATTTTTCATAAGCAATTTTCTTTTTCTTTTTACTGTAAATCTATGTAATTTATGTAAAACCAAGAGTTTTACATTATGTCAAAAAAAAAAAAAAGTTTATTCAAGTTGAATTCGTTTTAAATTCCCAAGGAGAAGAAGGCACATGCATGAAAAAGTATTTGCTTTGATTTTTATGTAAAACGGAATGAGAATTCTTCGATAAATACCTCCTAATTTGTTAGATATATACTTGTAAAGTTATCCTCGCGCTCACATGTTGAATTTTCTAATCTCTCGACCCGTTTTACATGAATTTTAAGAAATCCAAATGAGCTTTTGAACTCCTCTGATTAATTTCATAAAATTGCTTCTTCTAATTAAAAGAAAATTGATTCAAGGTTATTTCTAAAAACTCTTCCAGAAAAAGAAACTCATTTAAAAATTAAGGGTCTGTTTGATAGACAAAGGTGGAAAAAATTTTTAATTTCATGTTAATTGAAAAATAAAAATTCACCAAATCCATAGGAATTCGTTTTCTATGAAAACAAAGAAAATGCAGTTTAAAGTGGTTTGTACCTTGAAATTCGATTTCTATTTACACGTTGCAATCAAACGGTTAAAGTGGAATTCGTTTTCTTCGAATGTGATATTTTCCATGAAAAATGTGGCAATCAAACGTGACCTAATTTTTAAACATCAATTAATAGCCTACTAAGAAAACTCTTATACAATAAGCCAAACGAACACTCAATGATGTTAAACTGGAAATTGAAATTATAGACAGAATCGAGGTAAAGTAGGTGGGGTAGATTGGGGACGGGGCTGGTGTGGGTTGGAAGAATAAGCATTGGCATGGAGATTCGTTTTGGATTTGAACATGTGCTGCTGCACATGCACATACAAATGCAACTGTAAGCGAGATAACAATAAAGATGCTGCCACTGTTGTCTCATGGATGGCAAAAGCAGGTTGCTCCATCAGTCTATCCTGCACCAGGCAGTGTTTAGTAATTGTCAACGGATCCCAGCTGGGTACCATGCCATGAGAATAAGAAAATCAACACAAAGATATTTTTTTAAATTTTTTTTTTTTTGATAACCGTGGATGTCCGGGCCAGTTTGCGCGCACCTCGACTAATTCCATGGGACCCTGAAGTTTACGGCCGTGTGGCCCTGAGGGGACTCGAACTCGTGACCATTGGGGAGCAAACCCAAGGCCTGACCAATTAAGCAACCCCTCAGGGTTTCTTTTTAAATTTATTTATAGGCTTGTTCATTTTTGCTGTAATATTCATGCATGGTAGAGAATATTATAAATCACCTAATTCCTTGATGCACTCGAGTTGTTGGGAGCCTAAAAACAACTTCTTGAACATATATTAATACCGTCGTGAGGTTTACCCAACTATGTAATTCCTACACTTTGCCAGTGTTTCCATACCCCAATTCAAAATGTTAAGAGATAAAATTTCACGTTGAATAAAAATGAAAATATAGACCAATTTATAATAGTTTGTATTACTCCTCTTAATAAAGTTGGTTTTTTAAGATTGAACCCTAAATCTTAACATGATATCAGAATCCATTAAACTCCAACGAGCAATTCGATTTGATTAAAACTCAAAAAAATTGAGCACACAAATAATTAGATTGGTTTGCTCAAACGAGCAACCATCTTGCGGGGAATGTTAAGGGATAAAATGTCACATCGAATAAAGATGAAAATATAGACTAATTTATAAGAATTTGAACAACTCCTCTTAATAAGGTTGACTTTTTAAGATGGGACCACAAATTTTAACACAAAACCCTGGTAAAGATGTCGGTTGGAGGCCAACACGAAATTTTGTCAAATCTTATGAGTGAAGATATTGTAAGACCCGTCTACTGACCATAAAAGAAATTGCTTAATGCAAACCTCATGAACTAAGAACCTGCAATCAAATTGATGCATTAATATCTGACCGAAATGCAAAATGACCAGCAATATAGAGTAAAGAATCTAAAGATGGAAACAGAATTATACTTGATTTGCTCACTAGTTCCCCCAGCTACTGTATTTGAAATTGTCCAGGCAGCCTCTTTTTTAATCTCAAGCTCAGCAATGTTAAGCAGTTGGAAAAGAAGGGAAATACTACCAGCCTCAATCACAGCCTGTGTATT